TTCCTGAGGCATTGACACAAACTGAACAGTTAATGCACTGTACAGTTTTGTTTTCGACGCCATGTTTAGGTGTGTACTCAGCTTTTTTTTAAATATATTTTTCTCAAAGTGAAGTTTAAGTCTTACTTGGGTTATTAAGATAGCAAAGAAATCATCAGAAGTTTTTCTTAATCTAAGGGGTATACATGGGGTTAATGGACATCAATAAGGATGTTACGTGCTTTATTTTAAGTCAATTCAATTTACCAGTCTGCAGGCACTCATCTCAATTTCCTTATTTCTTGTTAATTCACAATGTTCTGCAGCATGCAAGTAACATGTATTTACACAAATTAATTTGTGAATTATTTAGCTTTACCATCGACTGAAACGTGTTTTATTTAACTTGCAAACCTATTAGTATTTATTTTTTATTAATCATCTGGATGTTTCAAGTCCTGGAATCCAGTGCGTCACATGCATTCAAAAATGCTTTTCTATTTAAATATGACATTTGTTGAAAGTTGTAAGTTTAGTTTGACTGAATGCGGTCAGTGCAGACCATTCAAGACGTTTATTAGAAAAGTGATGAATTTGGAGATGTGCCTTAAAGTGTAAAATTTTCTGTTTAATGCAATCTTTATTTAACATTAAGAGTTTCCTTTATGTTTTCCTTTAAATTCCCGATGGCTTTGAGAGCATGCTGAAATAATCGAAAGAATACTTTCAAGTGTCAGTAAAATGAGGGACTGAAGTCTAATAGAAGATGGGAGAGACTAAGTGAAAGGCCAAAGGACCAACTCATGTGCATTATATATTTTTTTTTCTTTGTTTCCACTTCTTGGGTGTCAAAACTGTGATACTTTAAACTACTGCTACTTTAAACTACAACTTGGTTTTGTACTTTACTTTTTAGTGTTTCTCAGGCCAGTTTTGATTCTTATGCAACATTGTATACAGTTTTATAGCTTTATATGCATTTGTGTTTTTACAGTTATTCAGCTATTTAGTGCAAGAATTTTTGGTATTTTAAACATTTTATTGTCAATTTTTATCTTTTTTCTTTTGGGTTAGTTGAATGAAGATGTATCTGTTGTTTGCCTTCTATTGTGGTTCTGAAACAGGTGCTTTCTGGGAGAGTTTGAGCCACTGCCACTTTTAAAACCTCCTTGTTGTCTTACTCTTTAGTAGCAGTTTCCAGGTCAAGAGTCACTTTGCAAAGCTGTTACAAATGAACTATAATGTGACGTCCAACATGTAAACTGATGATATTCATGCTACTGTGAAGCTATGCTACTGTGAAGCTATGCAACTCACTGTAATTAAAAGACAACAAGCTGCCTTCTGTGGTTGTCTGTTTTTATTTGAAATGTCCGAATATGTGCGTTAATGAGACATAGACATAATTATGAGCTATTTCTTGTTTTGCCATTTTATATAGTATTTTTCCTTTTTCCCCCTGGAATTTGAGTAATGTCGCAGTCTGAAGCTGTATGATGCTGTTTCACTTGCAGCCACAAGGTGATGCTGTTTAGCTGAAAATAAATTAGTTTGCAATATAGTATAGTAATATAACAAAGCTGTAATATACTAGCCCAGAGGCATATGCACAATAAAACCTGTTTGAATATATACAGTATTTCCCATAAAGACATTAAATGTTACTTTATGCTTCTCTGTCTCCCTTGCATTGACCTCACCCAGCTTTACCAGTGCATGCCCCAGTGTCCTCTAGCCAGAGGGTCAACAAATTACTTTTAAACTTTTAGTGGGCTGTTTCCATTGCAGCAAATAAGAATAAAGAAATTTACAGAGATGCCAAATGAAATTAAACAAATTTAAATCTGTTTTAGGCTAAATATGGGTGCTCACAGTAGATGATTTGCACATATTGAACATATTTTATGGAGTTGGAAGGTGAGGGGTGGATAGTAAGAGTGAAGGAGGCAGCTCTCCACAATAGGAGGAATGTCTCAGTGTGTCATTATGGTGTCCATGTCAATGCATGTTTGGTATTGTAAGTATATGTTGTAAACATCTGTGAGAATGGGCCTGCTTTTTCTCATGTTCTGTAAATATACGACAGACATCTTCCATGATAGGAATAGTATTGCTTTACAGCCAAAACTCCAGAGGGATTTTATTTAGCGTTCCTTCTCCAGAATGAGCATGATGACTGTAAAATGAGTCGGACATACTGTAATCAACTTTACATTATCTGGTGTGCACGCAAACCCACACATACATATATGATGAGTGGATGTGATTGTACTTTAAATGTATGCACTCAGATGCCTCTCAGAGGGAGCTAATTCTGTCTAGAACTGCAGTAAAATACCAAACGGATCATTTGTGTAAAAAAAATTAATTCAAGATTAAAATACTTTTGTAGACTCCTGCATAGTTTTGTTTTGTTTTTTTTCAACAAAGGACAGTAGAGGATTTTTTCTCGTCGAGGCAAATCTCTTCTGAGAGTGAAGTACAAATAACTGGTCTGAAGCATGCTGTGGATTTTTCTGGATTCTAAATTTGGTTTCTTCCTGTTTTCTGTCTCACTATCAAGCACATTTTGGTTTTGTGAGTCAAGCATGCAGGAGCTAACAGATTCAGTCCTCTATTCAGCCACAGGCAGCTGCCTGCTTCGCGTTGATCAAAGTTTGGATCCTTGATTTTTAACTGCGTACAAGCTGTAGGAACATATTAACTGAACCTCCACAGGCTTCAAGAATACTATGATTTTTTAAATTGGGTGCCATTTCACCTTAATTGCAGTTAGTTTCTCATCCTTTTCTGGTAAAGTCTTGTGTTTTCCAAACTCTTTTCTCCCAGACTAATTGTAAATTGCTGCCATGTCCTCCCACGGCTTTGAGAGCAGCAGAATAATTCCTGTTGTGTATTTGTGTGCATTCCTATCACAACTGTAAGAGCAGAGGGACGTTACCACCACCCCCCATTACCACTAAACACCACTGTCTCCTCTTTAATTAGCCATTCATAGAGGGAAGATTGACACTGCACTGATGCTTTTTCTGGGACAGACGGGGCTGTTTTTCTGAGGTGTTTATGTGTGTGTACACCTGCATGTACGCATACATGCGTGTGCGTGTGTGCCAAGCTGGTCAAGCAACAAAGCAGACAGATGCACACAAACTCAAATGGTTTTCTACTTGCATCTCCCTGCCCTGTTTCTTTTTTCTCTTTGTGCCTTTGTTAGTTAAAGTGAATGGGGTTCTTAGGAATATGTGACTGTGCTGATGTTTATACTGGGAGGGATCCACCCCGTAGAAAAGCCCTCTGTAGAGCTACACCAGGTGGCTCGAGCTGAGCTAAGCACAGACATAAGCACTGGGGGTAGCTGAGGTGTTTGTTTGGTAACTTTTTGTTACAAAACAGTAAGTAAGGAAATAACTAATTAATGAATAGTAGTAGTAGCTCCTGGCAGACTCAAGAATGATATATTAAGTGGTACAAATCAAGACAGATGCACTCCAAATCAATCTATGAGACACTGCATAATAATTAGTTCCTAGATATTTTTGAATCTCTGCAGGAGAGCCTAATGAGCCATTCTTGGTTAATGCTGAATTATGTACTAAGTAAACCAATAATGTTTCATTACTTGCCATTTTTGTGCCCCATCATGTCAAAGCATTACCCCACCAAACTAACAAGTTGCAACTCAGTACAGTGCACAACTTAAACTAATATTTATGTATAATAGGAAAGTGGCCCAAATATTAGTTATTGATTTTGTGCCACTTAACGGCGGATTCAGCGTTAATAAAAAGTGCTTGTTAAGTAGTTGATCAGTATGCAGATTCACAGATATCCAGGATCTAATCATTACCCACTGGTTCAATAAAAAAAAGTCTGCTCCAGGGATAGAGTTATACAAGAAGTGCTGATTGTTGCTCTTTTTCCTTGCAAACTTCTCTTAATTTTCTCTTCCTTATTTTCACAATTTCTTTTATTGTGTGGATAACTGTAAAAATTGCACTTTGGATTGAACTCATAAAAGCAAGAGGTTCATTTCTACCCACTTCCAGAATACAAATTTGCAATTCCACAAACTGCAAATCAATATGGATTTGGAAAAGTTTCCTGAAGGCTACAATTACACTGTCAACGGCGGCTGGACTCTAATATATCCACTGTTTTAACTAAATGTCAACCTTAGCAAAATAATATTTACAAAAAATTCCTTTAAAGTAAATAATGGCTCGCAGATGCTGCTTATCATTCAATTTTCCCTTCTCACCACACACGTCCAGTTTATGTCTTTATGCTTCAGGGAATGCATGATCCTGGCATTAAGAGAGGGATTGTGTGCCAGTTACTTCCATAAATCCAAATAACAGAGCAGGTATGGTTGAGTGTAGCTGTTTGTCTTTTCATTTGTATATATTAGAATATAATCTCTGTTCCTGTGCCTATGCTGAATTTAAAATATAGTGTTGACTTGCTTTTATGGCTGTGGCTTGTCTTCCCAACAGATCATGAATATTTGTGTATGTGTGCTTTTCAACCCCAGTTTCCTGCTGCAGCTTCTGTCTGTGTGGTCACACTTGATCTACATGTTAAAACACACATTTACAGATTATTTATTCCGGTTTTTCGCCTCCAAGGACTGAGGTGTTGATTCCTCTCTTCCCCGGTGGACTCTCCTTCATTACATACTCATTCACACACACACACACACACCGCCCAGTCTCCCCACAACCTCTCCCTTCGGGGCAGGGGTTATGCAGTGTCATGCAGGTTAGGTCTCTCTCTGGGGGTTCGCCTGGAGGCAAACCTGAGAGAAAAGAAGGAGTGGAGTGAGTGAAAAAGAAAAGAAAAAAGAAAGATACTTGGATTAGATTTTTGTATTTTGAATAGAATCAAGGGAATGAAAGAAAGATCTCGAGAATGAGTGTGAGTTCAGGCAGGGTTCTGGGGGGGTGTTGTGTGAGGAGGGAGAGGGGTGGGGGAGGAGAGGAGGGGTAGGGGTGGAGTCGGGGGCTCTGCTATTTGTAGATCCTTGTGATGGATGACTGGTGTGTGTGTGTGTGTATGTAAGAGAGAGAGAGAGAGAAAGAGACTGGCTTTTTTTCCTTTCCCTATTCCCTCTCTCCTCAGGCAAGCAGAGCAGAGCGGGACTGAGTAAGAGGAGGACAGAGACGCAGACGTGTGCAGACCAGAGCACAGCAACTCCACAAAGACAAGAGAGGAGAAGAGTTTGCAAGGAGATAATAAGAGAAAGAAAACAGCTTTTTTTTACATCAGCAAACTGTGGTGGATATCATACCTACATCAAAAGAAATCTAGAGGAACAAAAAGGATTTGCTTTGCTTCACAGCTAAGAGGAAAATATTAGCATTTGTTATAGTTTTGTTTTTTATTCATATTCACCACAAATATTGAATTATTCTACAGGACTTGTGAGGTGTAGCAGGTCTCTTGGTTTTTGCAGAGAAGCACAGAGACAAAGGTGGACAGAAAGAGAAGTAGGGGTTTGTTGAAGAGAAGCTGGCTGCAGTGGTGGTGAATATGCCCGTTAGAGGTAGCTGTTTTGGGGCAGGCATGGGCAGGCTGGCCGGGCAGCCACTCTGGATGTGGGTGGTGATGCTCTCTGCTCTGCTCATGGGCAATGCTAGTGCCTGCCCAGCCCTGTGTACCTGCAGTGGCACCACAGTAGACTGCCATGGACTGGGTCTCAGAACCATGCCAAGGAATATTCCCCGCAACACTGAACGACTGTGAGTACCATCTGTACTCTAGCTCCTTGTGTGTGTGTGTGTGTG